GCTGGAGAATAACAGACAGTAACACAGGCTATCTGACACAGGAGAAAGCATTGCAGTGGAAACATGGGCAGGGAAGTAAACAGTGCCCCAGATTTCCTGAACTTTTCTGACTTGGATACCTCCACTAGCCCCACCACATGAATGCAGTGGTTGTAGTCTCATTGCTGAAAACACCTAAACCTGGTAACCACAAAGCAGCTTGGAGGTAAGTTCACTTGCACTTGGATTTCTTGAAAAGCTTCATTAACTGCTTGAATCTTTCTGAAACCTGAAAGACAGAAAAAGGACATATTAATAATGACTTGGGTTTCCAGATCTACTAAGGCTAATCTGACAGCCTAAGGGCTTTTTTTTTAAAAAAAAAAAAAAAACAAAAAAAAACAACAACAACAACAACAAAAAACAAACAACAAACAACAACAACCAAAAAAAAAAAAGAACCAATTTTGTTCCTTATGTTTTCTTCTATTAAATTTTAGGGGAAAACTGTCAGGGGCACAATCAACAGGTTAGTTGGATTTATACTCCAAAGCCTTTAGGAAGCCTTTGACATCTGAAATAGTTTCCAGGTTAATTACAGAGAGACAGAGCCAATTGTTGTTTATATTCCACAATGGATAGGAGTGCACATTCACTTAAGAGGACAGTCTTCCCTGGTCTGTGGCTGAATACAGCAGTTTCAAAGTACAGGAATGTAATCCTTGGACCATAATATCTCCTTAATACGTATTTTTAAGAAGCAACAACTGGCAGAATCTAAGATTTTCCTTTCAAGAACTCCTCCTCAAAAGACGTGAGAATAATATAACCCCAAACCAACAGGAGAACTCCAAAAATAGTGTTTGTTCAGTTGTAATCAGAAACAAAGTTCTTACAAAGCCTAAGATTCACAACACCTACCTGATTTGGGCTTTTGTTTAACCTAGTTGCTAAGGAAACAAAAGTTTTGCTTGAAGGTCCTTTTCTCTGACACTCCAGTAAGATTTCTCGGTCATCATTTCTACAGCAAAAATATATTTCCTTTTAACGTCAATACATATGTATCTGTGCATGCACACTAACAAACGAAAAAATGCATACGCGTATTTTTAAAATCCCGCATATTCCCAAGCTCCAGAACACGGCTTCAGCAATGCTCTTTGCTGGCCTCCCCTCTGCTGGCACGCAATTGCAGAGCCAGCACAGACGAGCAAGTGGCAGCAAGCGATACGTGGTCCTGCTACGAAGGGCAGGATTATCACAACAGAGTCACCCCAAACACTCAGGGCAAGATCACTTCAAGCTTTGACAGCAAAAGCTTAAACCTGACTTCAGAGAAGCTCCTGAATTCAGTAGTGGCCAGCAATAGGGGCTCCCCAGACAGCTCTCACTTACAGCCCCCTGAATTTCACAGAATAAACAGAGAGGTTCCTGACTCCTGCCTAGTATAACAGGGTCAGAGCTCATCTACTGTTGAAAAGAGTGAAAAGGAAAGGGAGCCTATGCATAATGTGTCACTGATCTGCTCTTTGTCACGTTCGTCTGTTTAGGTAGATGTTAAACGTATACGGCTCAGTTGTTATAAAGCAGCTACAATGTGCCTTTGGTTCAAACATGCCATGTCACAGCAAGTTATATTTAATTAAATTTCCGCTATTTTCAAATAAAAATGTCATGGCTAGTTATTTAAAGAAGCTCTTCAATCTTTTTAGGCATCAGTTCGAAGATGGACAAAGACTAAAACAGATAAAATCTGGTTGCATCCTATGCATTTACCTCCAGCACCTACAATCACATAATTTTCCTCGCATATCCTGCTGACTGAGCAGTAACTACTGCCTACGACGAGGGGGTTCAAACAACCCACAGGCTGAAAGATTGACTAGCAATGTGTGCAGATTAAGAGGCACAGACTCCAAAGCTAACATGTTGGATTAGAGGAGAAAAACAATACAGAAGGTGCAATATAGTGTATCTTTTTTCCTTAGAATGTAGGTCTTCAAAAATAAGCACAAAAAGAGCCTTGCTTTGGGAGATCCAGGTAAGCAAGGAAATTAGTTCTGAAATATAGAAATAAATTCTAACTAGGAAATTATTAAAAATCATTCCCTTCCAAAGGCTACTTAATGTCTTATGTGAAAAGAGTGCATCCCTTAAATCTACTCTACTGGACAAGCTTTACAGATAAAAGAGTAAAATAGACATTGGCACCTTTCAATGGCACTCTAAGGGGAGTCTCATAATGCTATCCCACAGAGGCGAAAGCAGGCTCTTATACTACCATTTAAAGATAGATGCAAAGCTTCTGAATTACCAGGCATCCACTAAATTCCCTTTTCCTCCCACTTTTGAATGCACCACAGTTGCCAAAATAAACATATAAATATCCACATTAAATTAAAAAAAAAAATCATTACCTTGTCCAGGAAACTACTACTTCTCCTTTCTTTTTAACAATGTTTTTGGCATACAAACTAGGTGATGATGCAGATGAAGCCGAAGGAGAAGAGTCTTTGTTCTGTGGCAACTCATTCTTCTTGCTGGAAGATCGTCTGGGTACTGAATTTATCTCTTCAGATTTCACATCATTTCCATCATTCCCCTCACTCAGTGATTCGCTTTCTTTACGTTGTCTTTTTGAGTTAGAATTGTCTACTGCAGAATCTTTTTTCCTTTTTTTACTAGTTTTATCATCTATGTTTATTTGGCATCCTGCATCAGTATTTGAAGTGGATTTTGTTTCAAGATTACCCTCACCTGCCACAGTCTCATTGGAAAGCTCTTCTGTTAAGTCTATAAACGCATCAACAGAGCACTCTTCCAGTTCTTCCTTTTTATCACCAATTTCTGCATTTCCAGTAGAAGTTTCCTGACTTCTCTTATCTGCAGGAGATTGTACTGCAAGACACGGATTTTCATTAACAATATCATCTGTTAAGTCTATGTATGACTCTACACTGCATCCAATGGGAAAAGCAGCTTCGGATCTAACAGCAATTGCATTTATGTTTCCAGGTACTTTAAATTCATGCCCCTGCGAGCTCCCACAGTCTTCACTCGGGCTGCCTGTGTCAGGGCTATTTGTGCTTGCAGATTTTCTACAGGGCCCAAGCAAACCAGCAGTTTCTTCCTTTCCAGGTGACTCGCTCCCTGGCTGAGGTGAGGCAGGACTTTGTTCTTGCGCAGCCTGGACGTAACGCAACTCATCAGGCTGCCTCGGGTCTGGCTGGACAGTTTCTTGCCTGGTGGCTGCTGTGGCTCGCTGGCTCTCCCTTTTCTCACTACCCCTCAGGGCTTCACTTCCATTCCTGGCTGAGGAGGCCCGCGCCTCCTTCATGAAGGCCGTTGGATCCGATGCCGGTGCGGCGCACGGCACCGCACGCCGGATCTTTACAATGAAGTGATCGTTGGACTTCTCCATGATCACCGCTTGCATTGGTAGGCTAGGGCGGCACTGAAAGCCGGCAACAACAGGCCGACTCGTCCACGAAGAGGAACAACTCGATCTACTGCTGGAGTTATCGGATTCCAAAGCCAAATGAATGTCCTGTTCGGTGGCATCCTCCTCTTCAAGGAGCGCGTCTTCACTGTAATGGGCACTAAGGACACCCTCAGGAGTGGAACCAGAGCTATTCTCAGGTTTTAGGAAGCTGAGGTGAGCATCTGATTTCAAAGGTGATGGAATAGTTAAAGAAACAGCCAAATCTTCAAGGAGAATAGAAGAAACAAAGGATTTATTTTTTTGTAAACTGCACTCATCCTCTTTGCATGAGGTGGCACTTGCAGGAACCTCAAACATACAGCTTTCATCTAGTACACTTGGATCAATGGACATTTGAAGCCTGGATGATAAAGAAGGAGCTCTAAGAGGTGAAACCACAGGCCAGTTAATATCTTCTACAGGTCGAGGATCCACAGAAGCCTCCTTTGGTGCAATCTCTTGAATTAATACAGCATTATTACTTCTGCACTTCTGACTTTCTAAAAGCTGTTTTTCTGGTGTCCTGAATTCCCATTCATGTCTGTCAATATTGCTGCCACTTTTTTCCAAGAGATCAGAACCTTGCAACAAACTTTTGAAAATTTCACCCATCTGAGCATCACTCACAAGATTAAACGTAAGACTGGATGCTTGTTGTTCTGTGAGAAGGTCATAACTAAGATCAGACTTGTTAGCATCTTTGGTTAGTTGAAATCCTTCCTTTTCATGTCTTGTGCTTTTCAGTGGAGTGAGAGCGCCTTGTAAATTAGTCTCCTTAGAGGGCTGCACTTTGCTTTGGGAAATTCTTGTGTTATCAATAGAGTTGAGACATTTTGTAAGGATAGTTTTTGGTGCATCAGTTTTATTTTTCTCGTGGTGACACTTTTTAGGTGGTTGGTAATCCACAGTTGTCTTAGAAAGGATATATTCTTCAGTCTTTTGAGATCTGGCATTCAATGATTTTTTTTGCGACCTCTGAACATCGTTTTTCTGACCAATTCTGCGTTTTTGTTTTCCTGTTCTTTCAAACTTCCCTTCCTCAGTGTCATTTCCCACATTTACTGCATCACATAGTTTTATTAAAATTCTCCTTACCTTGTCAAATAAGTAATCAAGCTGCTCATCTACAAATTTCCATAACTGTTTCTTCATATCTGACACTTGCTGTTCAAAAAGACGATCCACTATGGCATTCTTCTTAACTTGTTTGAGTTTGGACTCTATAGTATCACAGAGATTCAATTTTAAAGTATCACCTAATGTAGACATCTTGGAAAAGTTTAAGTATTTTATTAATGATGTAAAATTTATAATGGCAGATTCTATAATTCTGTGAAAATGTTGAACTGGAAAATGTACCTTGAACTTCATGTAGTTTTTCCTTACCTGTTTTCGTATTGCTCTTAGCATTTGCATAATTTCTTGTACAGTTGAAGGTTCAGTAATAATCTGAACCATTTTTTCGAGACAAGCAATGCTCACAGTTTTATTTTTCTTCATCTCCTTTGAAGATCTGAAGGTCTGGTTTTTATGTCTCTCTCTATTCTTCTTTGTACTTAATTTCACAGAAACAAACTTTCCACTATCTTCGTTGCCACAGACAGTTTTGCTCTGTTGATTATGTGGATTGCGGGTCAAATTGCGTGTTTCAGGAGAAGTTCTTGGTATTGTTTTCTTTGTATTTTCAGAGGTGCGTTCTGGTTTAGATTTTTCTTCATCATCATCACTGCTTATGATTTCTCCTTCTTCTATTTCATCTGAAGAGATGCTCAGCTGGGACTCCATCTCCAAGTGCTCACCAGCCATGCTAACTGGCTTTTGATTTTCTTTGTTTACCTCCTTGGACAAATTCTTGGAGGGACAGACGACAACCGTACTTTCAGGAATTAAATCTATAAAAACAAAACAGTTTGATAATCCCCATGAAGAATGCAATTATAAACATATAATTGTTTTAAGAAAAACATGTAAGATTCAGTTCTGAGTTTACCTCCTTGGACAAATTCTTGGAGGGACAGACGACAACCGTACTTTCAGGAATTAAATCTATAAAAACAAAACAGTTTGATAATCCCCATAAAGAACGCAATTATAAACATATAATTGTTTTAAGAAAAACATGTAAGATTCAGTTCTGTGAGGTGACTGCTCGTTTAAAATTGCCTAATACAACTCAGTAAATGCGATCTTCAGCTACAAGTTTGGACAGTTCTCTTCAGCACTTGTGAGTTCAGTAACATCTTTTTCCAGCACCACAAAAGGCAGTGGAGAGCATAGGGAAAAAATGGAGTATTCCATCAGCTTTGAGCTTCTTTCTACTCATTTTGAGAGATCTTGTTGACACTGCACAACATTCAGTTTTAATATCATTACCAGGCAATGCCTGTGTACAATTTTCTTCCAGAGCTGATTGAAAGGATCTACTTGACTCTGTCTTTCAATAAACAAACTTACTAAAGAGAGAAGCCCACACTGTACACATGATAAAGTCCTATTTCAGTTTTCAATGCATTAAAGATGACCAGCACCAAAAGCACACTAAAAGCTTTTATCTTATGAACTTATTGGCCTTCAGTTCAGGTTGCTGAATGATAGGAACAGGGGATGAGAAATGTGAGAGGAAAAACTCGAGCTTTGTCTAATTTGATATGTTTTATTCCATCTCACAAATAAACTTATTAAATGATATATATTTTGAAATGCCATTAAATATCTATTTAATTATCAATCTCCAAGCAAATGTTAAAGAAAAATAAACAACCACAATAAGCTACAAAACAGAACGTTACAAAAGAAAAGACAAGCTGGTTTCCAGTGCACAACAATTCCAATGAAGCGTGCTTCAATTAACATGATTTGTAGCTGTTTAATCTTAAGCTTGCTGGGCACTGTTTCATAAAACACTCTGTGTGGTCCATCGCACGGGAATTAGACCATTTAATGACCTCTCACAAATACTTAACCTTATAAAAAAGAGGTTACATCTAAATTCCTCTCCCCAAAAATGCATTTGTAACCACCACTCTAA